TCGGAGCTTCCTGAGAGACAGACTGAGGACACACAAACTCAAGCCACATACGTTCACGTCTCATACTGCACATGTCCACACGGTAGCTCTGCACGGAGACATGTACGTAAACGGTACACACACCAACAGAGGTGCCAGACGACACTTTCTGCAGCAACGTCAGCTGTTGATTCAACGTCTCTGTCCACGGTCAAAAGTCTCAACAGTTGATTATGAATCGTTTTTTTTCTCCAAGTGAGTGTTTTTGATAGAGGTGTTCAGATAAACACAGTGCTTCCCCGTGCGTGAGATCATTCTCCCAGAGCTAAAGACGACTGACACAACAGGCTGCAGATGCTACACAGAGCCCCTTACATAATCTTATTTACATCTGAGAAGAAAAGCCTCGGTACGTCAGATCAAGTGCTGTCTGATGTAAATTATGATGTAAATAAAAACTTAATTTCATGGAAAGTGCCGTGTTGCATAAAAGGATGATACAATCTTTTACAAAGGGAGCGCGGCTCCGCGCCTCACCTGCGAGGAGACACTTTTTGTTGTGACTGGAACAATCAGCAAATGAGTCAGCAAACTGCAGGTCTTATCTGTCGAGGCGGTGTGAGAAGCAGATTTGATCTGCAATTACTTGAATTGTATCAGACGATTAGTCACAGAGCTGCGACTTGTTAGGGATTTTCACTTTTCTTTGTGTCCTTTTATCTGTGACTCCTCAGCCTTGGCCGCAACAAATTAAATCGGCGAGGAAGGAAAACACAGTGAAGCAGGTGCTTATAACTCTGAATAACAACAGTAAAAGATAGAAAAAAGAAATTTCAAGACATCATGATGATAATTGGCTGCTTCACAAACCTTACATTTTGAATTCTTTACAGCAGTGGTTCCCAAACTTTTTCTGCAGCTCCCATTTTTGGAGATTTTATTAATGTTGAGTCTCACCACATCAGTACATTCACAGCTGTTGCTTTAGAAAAAGTGAACTTTATTTTAAATGTTGTACAAAAATAAAATAAAATGACCAATCAATGTATTTCCCCCAACTGTGTTGGATCAGGACAATTGTGAAATTAAAACTAGTATGCCCTGCTGTATCCCCCTGGGGTCCCGCCCCCCACTATGGGAACTACTGGCTAAAAAAACTAAAAAAAAAAAGAAGAGAGCAACAGATCTGTTGAAGAAAATCTTTGGGTGTGTCTTTCTTCAATTCCTGTGAGTAAACTATGGCTGTGTTCCACTAAACAAGCCCAAGTTTCACACCGAGTAAGTGAATTGAAATTAGAAGATCATTATATTTCCTGATAAATCCCTTTTGGGACCAAAAAGGGGTTGGGAACCACTGCTTTAAAGCAACACAGAGTCTAGGCAAAACAAAGATTTTTTCTGAAACACTATTTCATATGTTGATTACGTATTTCTGAGTTTGTGAATGTCTCATTCTGAATTAAAAACACTGCATATTTGCACTGCAGTCTCGCCATCTGAAGGTTGTTTGGCTGAAGTGGCTGTTGGCAGCCGGTCTTAAGGGGTGTCTGGATCCCTTTGTGTGTCTGTCTTTGGGTGAGCTCCAGGTCTGATCTCTCTAAGCACTTCCATTCTAGTCATTTCCACCCCAATGAAAGTAGCACAATGAAACTAACTAGAATTCAGGTAGAGAAGAATTAAAAAAACAAAACAAAAAAAAAAAAAACACCTTATACTTGCTTGACCTCTCTTCTTCTTTTTTTGTATTTCCAAGTAAAGGATGCCGATAACCTAAATAATCATTTATTGCAAGAGGGTTTATAGAGAATCCTTTGGATTGATACCTTTTTACTGCTGTATAGCGATGATCTGACACACCTTACTTCAGGAGGTCTGTATCTCTGGTGCAGAGAGACAATCTCCTGGGGCTTTTCGAGCCAGTATTCAAACGATGTAAGCACAATGAACACAAAAGTATTTTGTGGCACTTCATAATAAAGAATAATCTTACTTTACAAAGATTGTCTGTGGGAGATTTATGTCTTTTCTTTGACGGCGGTCGATGAAAAATAGCAACAATGGTGTCTGTTTATTTTTGAAATTTTAAACCGATGTACGATGAATATTAATTCAAAAGGTGGTGTATGTTTAATGCAGAGGAGTGATGGGTAAATTTACATAGGAGTTAATCTGGGTTTAACAGTCTATACATTGCATTAGCTCTGTCAATATTGGATGTTTAAGGATGGACCAGGCAAACACAGGAGCACAGTGAGCCTCATTAGCACTCTTTAAGCTGGAAGCTATCTCCCAGTAATGGGCTGCCTGAGTGACTAAATACAGCAGTTTGCTTCCTCACATTCGGACTTTGTTTAGCACAAGTGATGTAGCCCAGAGCCTCGTCTTTCTCTCTGTGTGTGTGTTTAATTGAGGAAGAGAAATGAGAAATAATTGTAGATAACTCGAAGTTTGTCATCAGCGTACTATAAAATAAGTTTACCACAGCCATGAACTTTACATATAAAACACTTTAAAGTCTGCCTTTGTGATGGCTTTTCATGGTTTTAAGCCAAGTATTTAATGGTAATTATTATTGTAGTGACTCTGACTGTGTTAGTGGTCGGAGGTTATTTTCTTCTTCTCTTTCTCCTTGAACAGTACTTTTCTGGTCTCTACTACGGATGGTTTGATACAGTTTTTTCATTTCCGATATCAATACTGCAACTTGGAGTATCTGCTGACACAGATATCAACCTGATACCTTCTGTTCTGCTTCCGATGCTGATAGTTTTCCTGTTTACAGCATGTCGTGCAAAGTAAAGTTAAGCAATTGGGCGATATTTGTACTATGAAACATCAAAAAATATTCAAAATCCAAAGCTCAGATGTGATGTGTATGACTCCTATGAACGCTGTTTTTGTCTGAAGAGTTCTAGTTCTTCTTTGGTCTTTTTATCGTCACACTGTCTCCGTGTGGTCCAGGCTGTACAGAACAATAATAATAACTTCAAGTTCACTGGGTTTGTGCTACCTGTGACATTGCAGGAAAACTGACCAACTAACCTTTTTATTCTGCCATGACTTTGAAATAAAGGTGACCTGAAAAGACTGGAAATCCCCTCAAACTAAAAACCTATGGGATAAAACGTCCTGTAAAGAGCCTTCAGAGAACGAGGCCTGATGTCAGCTGCAGTCATGGGAACAGTTTCAGTTTGTTTTCCATCAAAAGTACACCGAACTCAGCTTAAACTGTCTGTAAAGTTTATTTATGGAAACGTTTTAACACCAGCCTTATTTATTTATTTGACCCCCGTCTCTTCCGTGGAGGACACTCCTGACATATTCTGTGTGATGACTTGTATCAGTGAAAGTACAGTCGGTCCTTCTGTGAAACATACTGTTGACTCCCGGTGAACACAGACAGTCCAAATCTATTGTTGCTATGCCAACACAAGTGGTATCCAAGGCAATAAACTATCCAGAGTAGCCATAGTTGTAAACTATTTAAACTGCCTCAACAAAGACACAATGCAGCACTCTGCAGTTTTATGAAGTACAATATATCTCTTGAGCCCGACCAGAAAACTGGGTTCACAGCGGCTGCAGAAAGACCAGAGTAAAGTGACTACACTTGCCCATGAATCAGTTTCTCCGTCCTCTCTTCGTTTCCTCTGTCAAACTTCTAACTACCCTTCACTGC